TTCTCAAATTTCTGACCCTTTTACAGTTGCCAATAAAGTCTAATTTATAGTCAAAGGTTTAGTAGTTTTGAGAGGTCAAGTGGCACCAACATCATATGCTAGGCGCTGACTTGTTCTTGAAGCAAGTTTAAACAAGCATGGTTCAAGGCACAAAGTAGGATGGTTAGCAGGTTTAGCAGTGCCTAAGCTGGATTTGTCAGCAGGAATTAAGGAAAAGCAAAAGCAACACATGGGCCCAGCATACATTTGTACAAAAGATTGCTTTTCGAAGACAGTAAAGGTACACGTGGGGGAAATCCTTTGGATAAAGACTCAAAAATGGTTGTGAGCATTAAATGATGATGAGATTTATCAAACCAGAAATCATGCAATGTGAGATTCTAGATCATTTCCTAATTCTGGATCAGAAGTTTAGCTTCAGCGTAACTTAGAACAAACATTCAACTTCTTCTCTTTGTAACGTTTTTCTCCAGGATGTTCTGAAGGAGCTCCCAGACTTTCCAAGAAGCTTGCAACACGCTTTGTAAACCTTCTTTGAATTACTCTTGCAAACTCTGACTGAATCTTTGTGAAAACTAGCCCATAAGTTATAACCAAACTCTATCTTGGAACTGTCCAGAATTTGCTGAATGCCTCAGTTTCAAGGACATGTCTTTGAGGAGTTAGAACTTGGAATCCCAACATTCCTAGGTGATGTTCTGTTCTGTAATGTTTCAGATCTTGTGGGAGTCTATAACTCTTGTGTTAGAAGTTCCTCCAGAATCAACTTCCATCAGGGTGAAAATCTGATCAGAAGTTATGTGTTTGTCATGTTTCTTAAACACTTAGAAAAAATTCTAAGTATTTTAGAATTTGACTTTTCCAAAGTAATTTTTACTTTTGAATTTCATGGCGAAGCCAATCTCACATTACATCATGTCTTGATGAAATATGATTCTTGAAGCTAGATTTTGATCCAAAAGTTAAAGTTTAACTTTTTAGTGTGCAAATGACCATTTTTCCCTTGTGAACGACTTTCTTGGAAAATTGATAATTCAAGGCTTGGAATTGGATGGAAGCAAACCTGGGGTTCTAGGGTAATCCTTTGAGAAATGAGAGGGCAAATTTTGGGGTACAACAGATGTCCCTGTTCAATCTTCTTACACTTGAAGAGTTAGATTGGTTAATATGCCATTCGTGACTTGAAGGTGGAAGATGATTGAACACCAGAGTGCCTAGAAATTTGCACTCGAAGATGTGTTAGTTGATTATGTAGGTAATGGGCTTAAAGATGCCATTTGGAGAGATGATGGATAGTTACTGGAAGAAGTATCAACATAGATTTCTTCTTGATTTATACTAAACTTAATGTTTTACCTATGAGAAAAGGAATTAGTAAAATGCAGATGCCTGCATGATGTTCACCAGATGTGGTATTATGTTAAACTCATATGGTATGTACATGCTATGATGTATGAATGTGAGATGTATGTTTTTGTCCCGGAAAGTAAATCCCTGACTACTGCTGAGGAAATTCTGGGGGGTTGAATCCCTGATTGTCGTTGGAGATGAAGAATATGCGTATCTTTAAATTTTGTTGAAAGGATGCTTTCGCTGGGGAATATTGCTCGAATGTCAGTTGTTATCTGGTAGGATCCAAGCTTCACAGTTGTTGAGGGTGAAGTAGTCGACTGCTATCTGGTCGGATCCAGGCTTCTCGATAACTTACTAGAGGAAAAGACAGATTAACTATTATCTGGTCGGATTCCAGGATTTGTAGAAGACTTCTTGAAATTGAACAGTCATCTGGTCGGATCCAAGCTTCACCATAATTTGCTGGGGATATAGAAGTTAACTGTTATCTGGTCGGATCCAGGCTTCGCAGTAAACTTGAAGTGATAACTACTATCTAGTCGGGTCCAGGTTTCATGGTTTTTAGAAAGTTGTACTATTATTTGGTCGGGTCCAGGCTTCATAGTGTCTCTCTGGGATCATTTTTAATTGTTATCTAGTCGGGCTCCAGGTTTCACAATAAACTATTTGAAAAGTTGTTATCTGGTCAGGTCCAGGCTTTGCAGATTTCTGAGGTTGATGAGGTCAATTTCTATCTGGTTGGGTCCAGGTTTCACAATAAACTGTTTGAAAAACTGTTATCTGGTCGGGTCCAGGCTTTGCAGATTTCTGAGGTTGATGAGGTCAATTGCTATCTGGTCGGGTCCAGGTTTCACAATAAAATGTTTGGGGATATAGTTTTTATCTGGTCGGTTTCCAGGTTTCACAACGACTTGCTTGAAAAGACAGAATTAAAAACTGATATTTGGTCGGGTCTAGGTTTCTCAGCAATTTGTTGGGGATACGGAGGTAAACTCTACTGAGGAAAAGAAGTTAAACCTTGGTCGGGTTGAGTCTGGGTTCTTCTAATTCTTTGAGGAATTAGACTACTATCTGTAGCGGTGAAAATCGGAGATCGAGCTATTAATTAACTCGACTCACAAAAGCAAGAGTCGCCACCGCGCTTTATTATTTCCAAGGGAAAAGGGAAAAGAGCGAAATAAAACCCTAAAATATGCAATGTAAAATAATACTTAAAAGTAATAAAAATACAATGCGTTTTTGAAAGAGATCGTGAGTTCGGGGGTTGGTTATACAATGGGAAGGTATTAGCATCCAATGCATCTGCGGTACTCCGCAAGAACCTTTTTGAAATATCTGTTTTTTGTTAAAATTGTTCGTTTGATTAAAATGGTTCGTTTGGCTAAAAAATCGGTGTTGGAGAGATTTTGAAGATACGACGACCTAGTGTCGAAGTTTTGACTTAAAAGGTGTGAGTTTGAAATTTGAATCTTTTAGGAAAATTATCTTGAGTTTAGCAAAATAGTAAACAAACAAAAGAAATGAAAAAAAAGTATTCGCACGATCGGATGAGATGTATTTGATGACGTGAAGTCAACTGAGTTGAATCATTTCCCTTGGAATAAATTGAGCGAGAAAGATAAAATAGACATCAAAACATAAGCAATCAAAATTCACAAGAAAATAAATATAACGAAACAGATTAATGACCTAAACGCATCGAGAAATTAAAATGACAAAGATATTTAAATAAAATAAAAGAGAATGTAACTAATTGTCTAAAGAAGTTATTTAAACTAAATTAAAAAAATTAAGATTACTTACTAAAAAATTCTAAACTAACTACAAATTCTAAGATTGCAAAAATAGTTCTAAAATTACTAAATTAGATCTAAGCTAAATTAAAAATTTTAAAATTAATAAATTAAATCTAAACTAAATAAAAATTCTAAGGTTGCTAATCTAAAACAAAAAGAGTTCCAAAGTTACTAAACAAAATCTAAATCACATAAAATTCTAAAAGAAAATTAAACTAATTCTAAACAACTAAAATTCTAAACTTATTAAACTAATTCTAAATCAAATAAAAATTATAAACTCATTAAACTAATTCTAAATCAAATAAAGTTCTAAAGTCCCTAGACTAAAACTAACAACTAAAATTCTAAAGTTAACTTAAATAAAATCAAATAAAATTCTAAAGTTTACTAAATTAAAAATAAATTCTAAAATTTACTAAGTCAAATCTAAATGAAATAAAATCCTAAAGTTACTAAAATAAAACTAAACAAAAAAAAATTCTAAAGTTTACTAAGTCAAAACTAAAACAAATAAAATTCTAAAGTTTACTAAGTCAAAACTAAAACAAATAAAATTCTAAAATTTACTAAGTCAAAACTAAAACAAATAAATTCTAAAATTTACTAAGTCAAACCTAAATGAAATAAAATCCTAAAGTTACTAAAATAATTTTAACTTAACTTAAGATTACTAAAATAATTCTAAACTAAATAATATTGTAAAAATTGCTAAATTAATCATAAATTAAATTTAAAATTCTAAAGTTAATTAAATAAACTAAATGAAAATTCTATAATTAGTAACTAAACTAGATAAAGATTAAAACTCAAATGATAACCAAATTAAATTAAACTAAATAATAAAGCTAAAAAAAACAAATATTATTATAAGAAATTGAAACTAATTAAAAAAAATCTAAATTAATACTAAACTAAATCTAAATATAAGATTTACTAATATTTTTTATATTTTTTATGCTTTTTTATCAACTTAATCATCCAAATTTATTAACCTATTGATTATTCTAAAGTGAGAGTTCATGTAAACTAAAACAACCAATCAAAAGGTTCTGCCTGGCTAGATCTTAATACAAAAAGAAAAAAAACATAATAGCATATTTACATCAGGGGAACAAAAATTGGAACACAACTTCTAAACCCATCTCCTCTGGTTCTTTCTCAATCAAATTCAAGCATGACTAAAAGAACAAAACAGAAGAAAGAAAAAACAAAAAAAAAACCTGAAGGTGGAAACCATGAAGTGATGGCCGATTGGTAATCAACAGTTTCCTCTCTTCTTCACATTTAGATCGGAAACAAAGGAACCAGATGTATGTGGTGGGGATCTGTTGGTGGTTGTTGTTGCGGTTGTGAGGAGGAAGGTCTGTGCGTTTGCAGAAAGTAGGGGCAGATTTGAGCGGTGTCACGAATTGGAAAGAGATCGTCAAATTTTCTGCTGGCTTGTGTGCGGTGGAATTCGCGGATGGCAGAGTGATTGTCGATGTGAAGCAGAGGACAGCTTCTTCGAAGATCTGCGGAGGAACGGGAGTTTACCAGAGCTTATGTTGAGAGAGTTGAATGAGTTGAACGGAATAAGTTTCATCGGAAAATTCAGGTTGAAAATCTATTTGGATTCTGCCACCGTAACCTGCGACTCTATGGTACTTCTTCTATTTCTACATCTCAAGTGATCAAGTTTGTACAATCAATTTTGCTGTCATATTGCTGAGTGTTGCCTTCAAGATCTAAACTGTGGGAAGCCAAGGCAGTAGTGTAAATGCTAGTGCAGCAACCCATCCATACATGATCAACAGTTGTTCAACAACAAATGGTATACTATTGTTTCTTAATGGAAGCCTATTGTCCATCCTAATTGAAGGATTGAGCAACAGGTACGTGTACAGTTTTACATGATGCCGGTCTCTCCAGGAAAATCTGCTGCCGACTCAAATCATCTTCCGTTTCAAGTTGCTTACCAAATTCTCTTAAAGCAAGTGAATATATAGTTTTTCTAGTCGCTGATGTTCTTCCAGTAACCAGTTTAACAGCCGTGGAAAGACTCTCGCCGTTTTCAATTAACTCTCTTAGTTCACTCTCAAGCTCGGTGTCAGAAGGAGGTTCAACTTTAGAATTTGCTTGCCCTTCAACCAATATGGTAAGTTCTCCTTTTGGCAGACAAGTAGAAAATACATGGTTGGCTTCACCAAGTGATCCGCGCCAAAACTCTTCATGAAACTTCGTCATTTTTCGAGCAACAACACATTTCCTTGTATCACCAAAATTGATGAACCCTCTTCAAGAAACTGAGAAAAGCTTGTGAGGAGGAACATAAAATATTTGTGTTGCTGTTTGTATGGTGTTGTTAATGGAGAGTGATGAGGAAGAAAGGTATACAGGTTGATGCGTAGAGGATGAAGTGTGGTTAGATGATTTTTGCAAATGGATTGATGAAGTTACTGAAGGTTTATAGTAGAGGTGTTTTGCAGTGAGAATGATGTGAATAAATGGGTGAAGTTATGAGGGATTTGTGGTGTTATTTGAGCAGAGGTTCAATATGGTTTTCAGTGGATTGTGGTATGGATTTGAGCAGAGGTTAGGAGCAGAGTTTTTTTTCTGTAAGGTTTTGATGTCGATTTCTCTTTTTTTGTTTCTTTTTCTCCTACTGCTATTGCAGGAATTAGGTGACAACCTCCTCCTCTCTTCACAATTTGCTTCTGTTTTTATAATGAATGTATGATAGAATTGGAGGGAAAATTGGAGCCAAATATCAGTTGATTTCTAGTTTATGTCAACTTCCTTATGTTTTCTTGATGCAGGGATTTATGGTTTCATTTTGGGCAAGTTTTTGGACAACAAAGATAGTAAAAGGCTGTTTGCAGACTGGTTTTCTTTATGTAAGTTTTGGAGTGAAGTAGCAGCAAGTTTGGATTTTATGGACAGTTAGGATAGGGACAATAGCAAGGTTTTGGACTGATTTTATTGTTTGGACATTTTTACAAGGAGAGGAATAGCATAATAATAATAATAACAATAATAATAACAAAAAATAAAAATAAAAATATTAAACTAAAAATTTCCAAAACATGAAAATTAAAGAGAAATTAAAATTAATTTTAATTTTAATAATAACTCAACTAAAAAGTTGAATTAAAATTAGAACCAAATCAAGATTAATATTGAAAGAAAGAAATGAAAATTATAATAACTAAAAGAATTAAAAGGAAAAGATATTAACTATATATTTTTTGTGATTAAAGTGAAATGCTAAAATAAAATAATGCTAAGTCATGTTTTTTTTGATATTTTTACTAAATTAAATCTAGAAGACTATAATTTTGACTTAAGAATAAAAATCTAAATGAAACTTGAAGAGACTACTTTTTTTTTTTATATTTTGAATAATAATGTAAATAAAAATTAAGATGACATGAACTAAATATTTTTTTTTTTTGGATTTTTTCATGGAATTAAAAATAAAAGAAGAGAAAGTGTAAAATTTATGGTCGGATAAAACACATTCCAAAATTAAGAATCAAATTCCATTAAATTCGTGAAACAACTTCGAACGTTAATAACTTTTTCGTGGCTTTTCAATGCATAATCATCTCTTGTCTTGTAAAGAAAAATTGTAGATGGTGTCAAGAAAAATCATATGCAAAAAATAACCCCTCAAAATATTGAAATTTGAAGAAGTTATGAATTTTGAAATCTGACTCGGGAATTGGCAAAAATAGGTCGAATTGCTTGTGAACTCTTGCCATGCAATGATGCGGATGGAATGCGGGATCTTAGGTCAAAAATTAGGGTATGACACTATCTGGTCGGGTCCAGGTTTCATAGCATCTTAAAATTGAGATTAACTGTTATCTGGTCAGGTCCAGGTTTCAGTGATTGAAGAAGTCAAATTATTATCTGGTCGGGTCCAGGCTTTAGTAATAACTTGAAAATGGTACTAATATCTGGTCGGATCCAGTCTTCATAGTATATATTTTTTGGAAATAGTAAATGCTTTGCTAACGACTTTACTGGGGATCAGGGGTTGTGGCTTTATGGTTTGCAATAAATCGAAAGAAAAATCAAACTGGAGAGTGTAGACTCATTCGAGTAGGACATACTCAGCTTGGGGAGGATATGCTGAACTGAGGATATTAGACTCCATTTGGGGATAATAGCCTTGGCTGGGGAAGATATGCTCAGCGGGGGAATTTCGCGGTGTCTTGATTGTTGTATGTTGAGGATATTTGAATTCGGCTGGGGAAATAAACCTTGTTGAGGAGGTGAATTTCCTTTAGGAAGAGATCTACGAGGCTTTAACTTGTAAAAATTGACTTAGCTGGGGAGAAATAGGCCAAGAGGTTGAGACTCTGGTCGGGGATTATCTTATGCAAAGAGACTTTGTGGGCAACTCCATTGGGGAAAGGTTTATCGTAGCCGTCCTTGTGGGGATAATGATAATGAGATAACTTGTGAGGATATTTCATATACATTAAAGAGATGCTTACTGCTGCTTAGCAGGACACATGTGCCAAATAGTTTTAATTATGTTCATATGCATATGTTCATTCAATTTTAGTCATTAGACAAATTTGCATTCAAAATAAAGACATAAATTTTGCACTTCAAAGTGTATTTGTATTGATATTTTTCCCATGAATAGGCATTTTTGTACAGAGAGACAAAGATCCTAGTAAGAGAAAATCATAGAAAGGAAAATAAAATTGAGAATGAAAACAAATAGCCATGTGAAATGATCTCATTGCCTTCCAACTCTACTATTGCCCCAATGTCTTCAAACGTCCCTTACCGTTGATTGAAGTTGATTGGATTGATCTTGGACCGTTTGAACTTGGACCTTGGTGTTAGAATTGACTGTATTGATTCCACAGGACATAATCATATGCTTTTAATCCTTAATTTTTTCCTGGACCGCCCTTTCGGATATTCGTCCCACTAGGATATCCTTTTTTGCCCAAGTCGCCCTTTCGGGTTTTCAACTTTCTGGGTGTACAATCTTTTGCATATATCCCTGGTTTTTGCCCAAACCTTTTGGTTTGTCGGGATACCCTTATTTTCTTAGGCGTGTTAACCTAGAGGATCTCTTATATATAGTATTTTTTAACTATGTCCGCGTTTATAGGATGTGGGAAATCTTCACCATCCATGGTAGTCAGCACCATGGCACCGCCAGAGAAAACTCTCTTGACAACAAATGGCCCTTCATAGGTGGGAGTCCATTTGCCTCTGGGTCGCCTTGTGGTAAAATGATGCGTTTTATCACCAAGTCGCCAACTGGATATACTTGAGGCTTAACCTTTTTGTTGAAAGCCTTGATCATCCGTTTTTGGTACGTCTGACCATGGCAAATAGAAGCTAATCGTTTTTCATCGATCAAGTTCAGCTGATCCAATCTCGTTTGAATCCACTTGTCTTTGCCTAAGCATGCCTCATTCATAATCCTCAGCGAGGGAATTTGAACTTTCACTGGCAGAACAACTTCCATGCCATAGACTAAGGAAAAATGAGTTTCCCTAGTTGATGTTCTAGCTGAAGTGTGGTAGCCATGCAGAGAAAACGACAACATCTCATGCCAATCCTTATAGGTTACTACCATTTTATGCACAATTTTCTTGATATTTTTGTTAGCCGCTTTGACTGCGCCATTCATTTTTGGTCTATACGGAGAAGAATTGTGATGCTTGATCTTAAATTGAGTGCAAAGCTCAATGATCATAACATTGTTGAGGTTAGTCCCATTATCGATGATAATCCTTTCGGGGGTACCATAACGGAAGATGAGATTGTGTCTGATGAATCTAGCTACCACATTCTTGGTGACTGAGGCAAACGAGGCGGCTTCGACCCATTTGGTAAATTAGTCAATAGCAAAAAGAATGAAGCAATGTCCGTTAGAAGCTGTGGGCTTGATCTCTCCGATCATGTCAATGCCCCACATTGCAAATGGCCATAGAACGATCATGACATTCAGAGGGATAGGAGGCACATGGACCTTGTCCGCGTAGATTTGGAATTTGTGACAAGTCCTTGAATCTTGATGGCAATCGGTCTCCATCGTTGACCAATAGTAACCAGCTCTTAAGATTTTCTTAGCCATCGTATGTCCACTTGAGTGAGTATCGAAGAGACCATCGTGCATATCTTCCATAATTTCCTCTACCTCCTTCTTGTCCACACATCGGAGTAGAGTTGAATCATGGTTGCATTTGTTTAATATCCCGTTGCTTAGGAAGAATTTGGCTGCAAATCTTTGCAAGAACTTTCTGTCATTGATAGATGCTCCCTTTGGATATTCTTGTGCTTCAAGGTATCTCATCATCTCATGGTACCATGGCTTTTCCTCATTGGTGTCAAGCTCATATCAATGTGAAGGTTCATTGAATCTTTCAATTGTTATCATAGGGGCTTCGTTGTCCCATCTGACTTTGAACATTGAAGACATGGTTGCCAAAGCGTCAGCCAACTGGTTTTCTTCCCTAGGGAAGTGCGCAAAAGTGATCTCTTTGAAGTGAGGAATTAGGGACAGTACAAGTTTCTTGTAAGGGATTAGATTAGGGTGTTTAGTGTCCCAATCTCCTTTTACTTGGCTGATCACTAGGGCGGAATCTCCGAACACATCCAAATGCTTGATCCTTAAGTCAATAGCAGCTTTAAGACCTAAGATACATGCTTCATACTCGGCCATATTGTTTGTGCAATCGAAACATAGTCTGGCAGTGAAAGGAGTGTGGCAACCTTCAGGAGAGATGATCATAACACCAATTTTGTTACCTAAGGCGTTAGAAGCCCCGTCGAATACCATAGTCCATCGGGATCCTGGTTCACGTCCGTCATTCAGTTCAGATTTCGCGCAGTCGGTTACCAGCATGATGTTCTCATCAGGGAAGTCGAAGTTCATTGACTGATAATCATCTACGGCTTGATGGGCCAAATGATCTGCTAGTACACTTACTTTGATGGCTTTTTGAGTCGCGTATTGAATGTCGTACTCAGTCAAGATCATTTGCCATCTGGCTATCCGTCTGGAAAGGGCAGGTTTCTCGAAGATGTACTTGATTGGGTCCATCTTAGAAATCAACAGAGTGGTATGCGTCAACATATACTGTCTTAGCCAGAGAGCAGCCCATGCCAGAGCGCAACAAGTTTTCTCGAGCAACGAATATCTGGTTTCACAGTCAGTAAAATTTTTTCTCAGGTGATAAATAGCATGCTCTTTTCGGCCAGACTCG